AGAACAATTCAGTTTTTTATTTGGTGTTTTGAGTTAGTAATGCTTAAAGGTTTTGACTTTGAATACAAAAACATCACAAAAGGTTGTCTTTTTTTGCTCAGTGTTGTTGATGAGACATAAGACTAATTTTATTGAGATACATAAGTTTTGTCTTTGGTGTTTTGAGTGAGTAATGCTTAAAGGTTTTTACTTTGAATACGAAAACAGCAGAAGAGGTTGTCTTTATCTCAGTGTTGTTGATATCGTTGGATAAGATGAGACATAAGACTTGTTTTTTTTTTTTCGTTTAACGTCTCTTGTGCTTAGAAGAAATCACTTTTATATTTGGTGCTTTGGGTGGGTAATGCTTAAAGGTTTGACTTTGGAAAACAAAAACATATGACTAGTTCTGTTTGGTTTCTTGAAGGTTGTCTTTTTTCTTCTGAGTGTTGTTGAGACATGTGATTAGTTCTGTTTAGAGGTTGTCTATTTTTCAGTGTTGTTGAGACATGTGACTAGTTATGTTTTCTTTTAAAAAAAAAAAAAAAAAATCAACTTCTGTATGGATTATTGAAGGTGGGCAGGATTGGTTGGGCAGTTCAAGCCAAGGAAGCTCTTTACTGATATCAAAGCAAGTTTCAGCAAAGCAGAAGAGTGGGATCTCCAGCTTTTCAAGGATACAACAAAACACATTGTAGACAAGTCTCTTTACTCAGTTGGTCTATGGACTCAGATTGCAATAGGCTCTTCTTCCTCTCTCTTACTAAACGCTGAACGTCATGGAGACAAAAATGAGATCAGAAAGAAGCTTATGTTTGTTCATCCGGTACGCATCTGTTTCCGATTCTTTGTTATGTTTATAAGCACTTCTTATTTTGTTTTTTTGGTTGAGCAGCTTGAGAAACATGATCTCACTGTGGAAGCAGCTTGGCCTGATCTGTTTTTGGACCATAAAGGACGTTTCTGGGATGTTCCTGAGTCGTTAAACTTTGATGTCTCTTCTCTTGTTCCAGAGACCGGGCTTCAGTACCGTTTCGGTGTACACAAAAGCAACGGTGATCCTCAGCTTATCAATGCTTCTGTTTCTGAGAGTAGTGGCGTTGCTCCTGCTTCTTTGATGCCTGGTTTATGCGCCAAGGCTGCAGTTTCATACAAGGCTAAGAGAGACTTGTGGAGGCCTAAAGAAGACAACACAAAAGAAGAAGAAGAAGATGATGATTCACCTGTTTTTCTACCTTACGATTTACGCCTCAAGGAGCCTCATGCAGGAGTTTCAGGAATCGTAGGTGGCAGCTTGGCAGCTTGGATTACAGGACGAGACGTGTTGGTTAACGGCAAGAAGAGGAGTCCGATAAGCGCAGATGTGTTTGGTTCTGCTTGTTATACGTTTCAGAAAGGGAAGTTTAGTAAGTTGTATGGTGATCTAACAAGAGTAGATGCTCGTGTAGACGTTTCCTCAGCTTCTGCTCTTGCTAAAAGAATCTTCCATGCAATCAGAAGATCTTCAAACAAAACAGATGACACATCTGGTTCTCCCAGGCTCAACCTGATATTCCAGCAACAGGTATTGATCTTGTTGTCCAAAGAACAAAGTAATTTAATGAAATGAATCTAATTCTAATCACTGTCATGCAATAATTGTCCAGATTGCAGGTCCAATTGTTTTCAAAGTGGACTCACAGTTTCAGGTAGGTGCAGGGAAGTATGGTGCACAAATGGAAGATCTGATTTACAGTTTGAACTACTCATTGAGGCTTCTTGAATCTGGAAAAGTCGTGGCTTGGTACTCCCCAAAGAGAAAAGAAGGCATGGTCGAGCTTCAAGTTTATGAGTTTTAAATCTCAGTTTCTTTGTATGAGAAGATGCTAGACATGGCAAAATGTTATTTAACTAGTTGAAGATTTTTGTTTAATGAATGTCTGAAATGATCTCAAATTATATAAATAGTCGTCACAAAACAAGACTGAGAATCACAGCAAAACAACTAAAATTTTAAAGAAAAACATTGAATGAATCCTCTCTTCGGACAAGAACTCACTCCACGAGAGCCAACAAGTCGCTCTCTTTACAAAAGCAATGCCTAGCACCAGTCCCCAAATCAACCTGCACAATGAATCCAGAGATGTTACATTTCATTACGGAGAGGCTAACTTCACCTTCAAGAAGGAGAAAAAAACATAATAACTAACCTCATATGCGCTCACGTCAGAGAAGAGGACCTGTGAAAAGGCAAAGGCGAAACAGATGAAGAACATTCACAGCAGTTAGTTACAATAGATGACAGTTATGACTTTGAGATTTAAAAAAAAAAAAGAGCCTAACCTTCTTTCCAGGTCCAACTTGTTGTCCAACCTCAGAACCAACAGAGACAACCTATAATATGAATAAAGCCATACTTAAAGAGCCTAACGTTATATGTTTAAGGCACATGTAACATAACAAAGGGAGCAAAAAGGCTTACCTCTCCGGTTAGGTACCTCTCAAACTTAACAGCTGCTTTAGGCAACAACACTCCACCTGATGTTGTCTGCATTCACAAAGTAACAACATAACCTGTGATTATTGGTAATTAAATTGTGATAACTGAGCTAATAAACTACAATGTCTTCTTAGTAATCAGACCATAGAAGAAGATATAAGAAGAGATAGACCTGAGCAAGCTCTTCAAGACGAACAAGAACCCTGTCTGCTTGAGGAACAACCTGCATTTGTCATTACAAACAATCTCCCAATTAAAATTAAATTAAAAATGAAATGAATACAGTTTGGATGAAATAAAACGGAAAAAAAAAAGACAGAACCTTTGCCGGTTCCCATTTAGTGGAAACTGCTTTGACTCTGAGACAACCTCTTCGGCTTCCTAATCCTAAAGACAAGAAACATGAGGAAACAAATAAATCATCAGACGGAACAAAAATACTTAAAAAAAGGTTGAAGCTTTTCATAAGTTTTAGATTTGTGTCAATACCGAGAAGCTTATGGTTAGCTAGAGCAGGAGTGTTGGTTTTAACCGGAAAAGCAAAGAAGGGATTTGGTAGAGAGACGAAAGTGGAAGATGCCATTGCTAGATAAGGTTTTTCTTTTCTTTTGCAGAAGTAGCAGCTCTTCTTTCTCTGTTATTACTCCGGCTTTAGAGGTTTCTCGTTGGTTCTTTTGTTTTCTTATTGGGCCAATGTCACGGCCCGTTAGTTGTTTTCATCTTTTCATTAATGCGACTTCTAAATAAATCACTAGATAGAAACAAGACAAAATCACAAGTCATGTGAGAACAATAAATAAAACTACATGTGTAGATTACATGATTCAACATAGTATTAAAATCAAACGCCTCAAGTAACAAAAATCTATGTCATGCCAGGATCTTACGAAGCTGCCAAATCCAAGAGTACATGATACCAACGGCACAGTAGGTTGAGATTAACATCAAAGGCATGAAAGTAAATCTATCACCTAGAAAATAAGGATGCAAGAACTGAGATACTATCTCTACTAAAACCAAACCCATCAGATAGGCTTTCTCAATACATCCAATCTCAAACTTGCTCTTGATTTCACCAGCTTTCTCCTTATTCTTTAACCCCTTCTCGTCTAAGTATTGAGCCGAGAAGCCTAGCCACATTACCATGGCGTGAAGTAACAGCAGCAGAACCTTGATTGGGTATTCTTGCGGCTCATATAAGAGTGGAAAGAGCGAGTAGCAAGAAACTGAAGGAGATATTAGAGATCATCAGTTACATGGACTTTATGTACCATGTTAGAAAAAAGAAAATGTTATATACCTATGGAAACCAAAAAGTAGTGTTTAGCATCTTCTAAACTCTGCACTGCAACGATTGCAAGTGGGATAGTGAAGTGAAGCGACGCTTTCTCATGGACATGCCATCCAAACAGAAAACCACATGTGTAAGCATAAGCTATCCATCTAGCAACAAGCCCAGGCTGCGGTTTCCTCCAAGCTTTGATAAGACATGGGGTAATAGCGAGTAGTACCATTACAAATGTTGTCAATGGCGTGATCTATCATTGCAACAGTCCAAGCAAATAAGTTTGAGCCGAATATGACAGAGTTCAGACAGATAAGAGAGTACCTGAGGGAGAACAGCAAACGGTGAAGAGTCCCCAACTAAACCACCAGTGAAAGAAGCCGAAGGAACCTGAACATCGAACCCGAGCTTCCGTAGCGTAAAGGCAAGACCTTTGTCGAGTATTATATAGAAAACCCAAAAGTTAGGTGCCCAATACGCATGACACAATCCTCTCCCAAATGGAAACATTCTACTTATCACTTGCTGTATCTGCAACACAACAACAACAACAACAACAACACTACACTCCATAAGATGATACCTAATTAACTCTAATGAGGCACAAGACATTCCCTTTCTCTGCAAACAGGACAAAACACTCATGGAAATGACAAGTAACACCGATTTTTAAGACAGTAGTTTCAGTCAGAAAGCAATGTAATAAGACTAAAAAAAAACTAAAACTTTCACGAAAGTTTATCTTAATCTAAACATTGGAACTGGCTTTCTCCGCAAACAGGAGAAGTAACATCAGTTTCTAGTTCAATCAAAGCAATGTAATAAGACAAGAAAGCTTAAAAACCAAAACTTTCGTCCATCAAAGAACTAACCTGTCCATAGTACACAAACGGACCAAACGCCGCAACGAAAACCGCCACAACCACAACACCAAGAGTCACAAGCCGTCTCAAACCGGTAACTAAACCAACCCAACAATAATGCCTAAGCAAATAAACAAAGTAAACCGGAGCAGCAACCGCAAACAAATGCTTAAAACACAACACAACAGCAAACAAAAACCCACCAACCAAATCCCTCCCATCTCCCAAAAACGAAACCGACAACAACAACAACCCAAGCAAAAACCCATTATACTGAAAATGAACATGATCCACAACCAACAACCCCGGAGACCAAACCACCAAAGCACAGATCAGATTCCGCTTCAAAGGCTCAACCTTTCGAGTCAATCTGTACACACCGAAGAGGAGGGAGAGATCCGAGAGGATAACGGTGATTCGTTGGAAGTAGATTACGGAGTCTGCGGCGTAATTGAGACCTGAGTGGAGATTTACGATCTTGGGGTCGACGAGAGAGGCGAAGAAGGAGAGGAAGCGTTCGAAGTGAGCGAAGAAAGGAGGGTAATCGAGCGTCCATTGGCTGGTCTCGTCGAAGTACCATTTGGTGAGAGGGAGGGAGTGTGTGATGGCGAGCCAGTTACGGTGGACCTCGAAGTCTGTGCTTCTGTAGGATGGGATTAGGAGGAGTTTGATGGTGGTTGATACGGCGAAGAACCAGAGGAGATGGAGCCGGTGATCGTTCTTCCGGTGATCCATTCTCGGCTCCGATAAGACTGTAGAAAGTGTAAAAGAGCGTAATGTTACAAAAAAAAACTTTAATGGGCCGATGGAAAGCCCATGATTAGAGGGAAACGACGGAGTTTTACGTGGAGTTGTACAAATGGCAGTTCTTGATTGGTGTTGATATATGACATTGCACTACGTAGATTATACTTCCCGGCTGAATTATTACGATAAATTCAGTCATATTGTTAATAGGTTTGGACATTAAGGTATTCGGATCCATTTTTCCTTTGAATTTTTAGATATTTTCTGTAACATCTCGGTTTGTGGTATATGGAAATGCTTAAGAGAATTGATTTGGTTACCTATGTCACCAAAGTGCATTTACTTTTTCGGGAGTACATCCAAAGATAACTCCAGAGTTAAGCGTGCTTGAACTGGAGTAGTCAAATAATGGATGATCTTTTAGGAAGTGATTTGCGTTTCCGTGTAAGTGAGGCCAAAACACGGGGAAATGTCACGTGGTGATTGCAAGGTTAGTAAACATGACTCTAGAGCTTTGGAAAATAAATAGACCGACCGCTGGAACGGAATGGACCACGGGCCGAAAAAATAAACGTGGGTGGTCCATTAACCGTGGGCGGTCGAGGCTTTACATTTTCATCTAATAGATTTTTTTTTTTACTCCATATCAAATTCGCATATTTAAGGTATGAAAATAACACAAAATATTTAAACTCCAATCAAATTTAATCATAATTTGTCACATATATATATTTATGTTTTTAAAAAATAACTTAAAATAAATTATTAATAACTAAATTAAATATTTTAAAACTTTAAAATTTATAATTAAAACTTTATATTACTTGAGAATGTTGTAAATAATAAAAAAAATTGTTGGTTAGCAAAAAAATAACAAAATTTGTTAATAAATAGATATTTTAACTAAATTATAAAATAAATAAAAATTAAAACACAAAAATCATAAATTTAAATATTCATATTTTTAAGTCGAATATAAGTCGGTTCTTATCAGGTTGATTCGGTTTTCAGTTTGTAAAATGTCCACACACCTAGATCAAATCCTAATTTTTAAGTCGAATATAATTCGTTGGTTTTAATCATAATTTGTCATATATATATATATATATATATATATATATATATATATATATATATATATATATTTTACAAAATAACTTAAAATAAATTATTAATAACTAAAATAGGATATTTTAAAAGTTTATAATACTTGGAAAATATTGTAAATAATAACAAAAATTATAAAAAAAAATAGATTCTTCAACTATAAAATAAATAAAAATTAAAACACAAAAATCATAAATTTAGATATTCATGTTTTTAAGTCGAATATAAATCAATCGGTTTTTATCCTCTCGATTTGTAAAATGTCCACACACCTAGATCAAATCCTAACCGTAGACCTATACGGACGCGTTCATTGCAAGATCCATTAATTTGGGCCACTGCAGAGCCCATACTGGAAGATATCGGCGGAGTGTTACGTAGACTTGCACATGATTGGTGGTAATATATAACGTAGAAATTAGACAATCTGAACGGCTGTGGTCATTTGTGATAACAAATCAACGGCTTTAACAATTCTAATAAATCAAATCCTAACAGTAGAATCAAACCAACAGAATATAATTTACATGCAACCTTAAGGCCTTTACTTAACCGCCACGTAGCACAAACTCCCAGCTTAGCTGTCGCACGAGCGAGACTCACCAGTCACCACACGTGTCCATGGCAGGTGGGTGTGTGATATAAAAAAGGAAAAGGTAGGGAAAACGGGGTACAAGGGCAGCTGTCATGGGCCAGAGGGACAAGGACGTTGATTATTGGGCCTGAGAGAGGTGATGGTGGGTCCCACTAATAATTAAAGCCCTTTAAAAAAAGGTTTTGTCTACTCAGCTCTTCCTTTGATACTAGATTTTATATTCGCGCTACGCGCGAGTCTGTTTTAATAATTTAGTTTAATTAAAATAACTTAAAACCAAAATATTAATTGAGTAATATAATTTTCTTATTTAAAATATAATATTTAATTTAGTATTTATGTTTTCTTATAATTATGTTATCTTATTAGCTATTTAGTTATTTGTATTTGTAAATATAATAATTATGTTTCTAAACATATTCATATTTTTTGGAAATATTAATTTATATTTTAAAATATTAAATAGATTTCTCAATACATGTAAACTTTTAACACGTTATAATATTTTCATCATACATTTTT